TCTTTACAAAATCTTTGTCATGTAGTCTTTCAAATATAATAGATACATTTCCTTTTTTTGTTCAATAGTTCCCTGCTAACTTTAATTAAAAAAAAAAAAGCCCAAAAACACAAAAAACAAAAAGATCAAACAAACAAACAAACAAAACCCCCATGACTACAGCTAACTGCAAGGATTATGTTCCTATTATACAGAAGCCTTATTTCTATTTCTAAATATATTTTCCAAACCCTAAAACATGACATAAAATATTCATATTTCTTAATGTCAGCATGACAGTTTATGCCCAGCGCTTCCATGTTTGTTGTTACCATGCTCCAGACTGCTGAACTGTTCCTTTCTGGGCTTCTGTTTCTTTCTTCCTTTTTCATGGTTTTCCATGGAAGAAAATCATTTTACTTATTCTGGATCATCCTGATGTAGAAGATTTCAAGAGAGGACAGAGTTCGGGGGTGCTTTTTTTCCTTATGTGTTTGCATTGTATTCAAAGTGCACTTGACAGTAAGTGCAGAGCTGTTTTGTCTTACTTCTGTATCTCTAAAATAAACTGTTGAAGAAAACTATTAATGACGCTTCACTAGCTTAATTTCGACTTTAAAATTAATGTCACTCTTAAACTTGTAACTCTTTAGCTGTATTACATTGAACTATAAATAGTTTAAGGAAAATGAATGGGAAAGCAGATGGTGCCAAGAATGCTTTGCAATTGGCAGAGCAACCAAAAATTGTTTAAATTTGCTTATGCCCCAGCAGGTCTCTGTAAACACAGCCTAAGTTAGCTTGTTTTTGAAGTAAGCTTAAGAAGAAGTCATTTCACCAAATAACATACCACAGAAAAAAGTCATAAATCCATGTGTTGTACTAACAATTATGAAAGTATATATTCCTTTTTCTAGTCCTAAATTTGCACTTTAACACTTAATTTAACTTGAAGGCAATTTCTCCATTATATCAGATTTTTTTTTAATGCTTTAAAACTCCAAATAAAAAAATTTAGAAATGCAAAGATTCCCCTGAAGCATTTGCAAAGCAAATGCTGCAGTATGGTATTGGCCTAAGATGAAAAAGTTTATAATCTGTTACTGTATTCTCATTGCTCTGACTGGCACGCGTAAAGTTAAGGGTGTGAGTAGTGGTGAAAGGGCAAATTGGATTTTTAGTAGCTAATTTAATTACTTGAAGTAATTCCAGGCAGACTCTGTAATGCTAAGAGTCTGTGATTACTACTTTGACAAAAAGAAAACAAAGGGGGGGGACACGACACATTTTAAAAACAGGTTAAAAAAAAAAAAAAAAAAAAGAGTTGTTGTCCTCTGTGTGATGGGGGTGAGGGTGGGTGCCTTTGGAAATCCTCCCATCACCACACAGTTTTTCTCTGCAAGCACAATTGCCTGGAAATCCACTTTTTGGTTTGATCCTTTTGATTTACAGTTAGAAAGTTGGAGGAGCTGAGGCTTTCTTCATGAGCATGAAATTTTGCAAGATCTATGGTTGTTTTTTGTAGCCAGATTCAGCCCAACTGTAACTGTGCTGTGTCTTCCTAATTTATTGTAGCACTTTCCAAGTGCTTTCATGTGTTTATTTTGTTTTGATGTAACATAAACAACTGTAGAAAAAGTACATATTTTCAAAACTGTAGTTATTAGAGATGTCTCTTTTTGTGTGACATAATCTGTATTCATCTGCAGTGCTGAGCAACTCTTCAGTTGAAGTAAAAAGTCCTCCACCTTCTCTTTATTTTTGTTGTTAAAATACTTTTTCCATCCAATTAAATGGTATGCTGTTGAGATTAAAAACTTAAAGGAGAATATTTTTATTAAGTAGAAGCCTGTAGGGGTCACTAAATTTAAAGGGTTAAAGTTTATCTTTATACCTGCAGAATTAAGCAAATACCAAAATGATGCAAAGCTGAAATACAGTTTTAAAACTCTATGAAGCGAGGATATTTGTCTCCAGTCTGCCCTTTCTAAAGGTCATGTAATCTGAGAAAGCAATTTCTCTCTTTTTTTTCTGTCTGTTTTGTAATCTTAACCCACTGTCCCATCAGTGATGCAATTTGGGGGATCTTTCCAGGCTGTAGTGCTCAATTACAGGGTTCTGCACCTTGTTTATTTTTGATGCAAAGTAAATATTTCTGAATAAATGAAACAGGGCAGCATTAACAGCCATAACAGAAAAAAAAATTAGGTGGCACTTTCAATTTTTTTTACCCAAGTTGGGAAAATAAATTCCTGAATTAGGATTTCTTCCCACAATCATAAAATATGGGTTGGTTGGTTTTTTAGGAGGAGTGAGGAGGTATGTTGAAGGGGAATTGTGCATGGGTTGACCAGGTTTTGCTCCTGGGTCCTGAGTCATTCCATTTGTTTTTAGTGTCTCAAAATACTTTCCTTTGCCAGTGGCAGGTCTTGTCTGTCTCTGACAAACGGCGTTGCACTGGGCTTAAGCGCCTGGCGAATGCGCCAGTGTAAAACTGCTGGAGCAGAGAGTTATCAGGCATCTGATACCTGTGTTACTTTATATGCCCTAAGGAAGCATCTTGATCCAGAAACTCCCTAACCCAGCAGCCACAGAACCTCAGAGGTGCCTCCTGCTCCTGTGATGTTTCCCTGTGTGGCTCGGACATTTTGTAAGCGTACATGTTTTTTCTGTTGCCAGTGTCTAGAATTGACCTCCAGTGAGCAGGTGAGTTCATGGCTCTCAGTTGAGCCTCGTTCCTCAGTCTCCTGAGTGGCCTAATCCTGCAGAAATGATCCACTCATTACAGTAACCTCATTTTCCCCCTCCTCCCACCATACAAAGTGCAGACAGAGCTACTTTATGTATTTGAAGTGGTTGCTGTGGTGGTTCACTTACATTGTATGGCGAGAGGAGTGGTGGATAGCTGTGCATGTGCGTGAGAAGTTGTGGTTTTGTGGCTGTTACCTGCTTGTGACTGCCATCTGCTTACTTCTCTGCCTGGCCTGCATCACTAACGAACATTTCACACACCAGTGATCACAAAAACCACTCTAGTTAGTATTTCACAAGTTTGTGTTTTCCAGATTTGAAGTACACAGATATACTGAAAATGTAAAGAAACTGAAGAAAACAAAAATAAAACACCACCACCACCCACCTTTTCCTTCTTTTCCCCATTGCTGTCAAGTAACAAGTAGTACAAAGTCTAGTCAGGTGGATGCTGAACTGGGAAGAATGCTGTGATTGTCGTGAATCACATGGAAGGGCTCCACAGGATTTTTGCATCTTTCAGGGGAAAAAAATGTTGCTAATTAACAAAAGCAAAAATGAAAAGCCTTAATACAAAGGCTGACTTCTTACCGAAGGACTTAAAAAACCCCATCAAAATTAAATTAAATGTCCTGCTGCCTCAGCCATAAACCAGACAATAAATGCAGGATAACCCCTTTTTTGTTCCTTACAATTTTTGCAATTAGTTCACTTTTTCTCCTACAGAGAGGCTGCATGAAAGGTCTTGTTATTTGTGTCTGTGATAAAATATGCTGGCTCAGCCTGCCTGAAGAAACAGAAGCCTTGGCAGGTTTATGCTGATTACCATGACAATCTAAGCAGTCTAGAGCTGTGGTTTGTGTGGGTTTTATCATAAAGATAGAAAACGTCTCCTGGATGGCAGAAAAGCTGATAGTATCATCATGACTCAGGAGATCCAATTGTCCTTGCAAGACTTTGTTTTTCATATTGTGTTACCTGAAGAGGGAATGGGGGCAACCCTATCAACTTCATGCGTATTTTATAACATATTGGTGTATTTACATATTTATCTATGTTAGTATATATTTTTATGCTATAGTTACATGGGTTTTCTTATAACATTTTTAATACATTGTTGAACACCTGTGTAAAAGTATTGATCATGGGTTTGAGGAGGAGCATGGGAGAAAGGTCAATTGGGCCAAAAAATTTCCACAGATTACATTTCTGACTCAAGGAGACCTCTAATAAGAGTTTCTCCTCCAGAAAATGTGAGAGCAGCTAAGGTACGTCGAGGGAGGGAGGGTGGAGGGCTGGAGCCCTTTTGGTTCAGGGAGCTGCAGTGAAGGCTTCTGGAAGTGGGGAAGAGGCTGGCATCCCTCTCTGCAGCTGCTCTGGCTATCTGCACTGTCTGTGAGAGAAGCTTTGGATGCTGTGGACAGGCTTCTTGTGATGTGAATGCACAGCAAAATCACCAGTAGATAAGGCAGTGAGGGGTTTAGATCTTTGAGGGTCCTTGAGACTCCTGCAAGTAAGAATAATAGCACAGAGGGAAACTGCCCAGCACTTCTTCCTGCTCCTCCTTCCCAGCCCCGTGTACCATGCCAAATCTGTGCTGCAGGGTCTTCACAAGCAAAGACAAAAATACCCTCCCTGCTCCCACTTCCTTACCCTATTAGAGTGTAATTATTTCAGCCATTACCTCTTCAAAGGTAAGAACTGCAAAGTCAACGTCCTTGCTTCCACCAAAGTGCAGCTTCTGTGTAGTAGTAGGGCTAACAGGATGTTGCATAAGGTTGTTGGTTTAAAACTGTGTCAGGTTGGAGTAGGAAAACCAATCTGCTGGTCTCTCATGATGTGTGAAGAAGGTTACCATCATTGGCATTTTGACACTTTTCAGAAAGAATAGACTTAGAAGTTTGAGTTAGAAAGGAAAACTGACTTGAAATTATAAAGTCCCGAAGTCCCCGTACAAATAAATTAATCTGTGAACTTTTCTTGTTTAAAGAATCTGCTGCTTAAGTGTTTTCCTAAAAACATTTTGCCTTTGGTTCATTATGACAAAAGCAAGGGTATTTGCTTTAGCAGTTCTTAATTGCTTTCCGAGTAATTGCATTGTTTACACTAAAGGATTTATTGGAAACTGCATGAGGTTATCAACATGTCAAGGAGCTTTTGTTCTGTTCCAGTAACCTAAAAATCTGAGGGTTCATTGTATAAGCTTCATTGGTAATGCGGAACAGTTACTGGTCCCAAGAAATCATTATTAAGAGCAAACAACCAAAACCATGTTTTTATGCACAGTTCTAGAGCATGAACCAAAAGCCACAAGTATGAATGATGAAGAGGAGGATGAGGGAGAACAGTTTGACTTTGACAGTGGAGATGAGATACCAGAAGCAGACAGGCAAGCCCTTGTGCCACCACCTCCTGATCCTGGAAATAGCATAGAACACCAAGAGGCTAACGCCACAGGTAGGTAATCCCATCGGGCTGTGCCTCCGCTCGGCTAAGCAGGCAAGACTGGTTATAGGATGCCTTTTCTTGACAATGCAGTGAAAATACTTGTAAAAAGAGGTTTCCATGGAAGTATCATACAAGTGTTTTGAATATTCCTGCTAATTATACTCCTGGTAGATTGACAAGGCAAGTGACCATCACATGTAATTCCTGTGAGGTTTCCCATCCAAGTGTGACATCCAAACCAATGGATTGTTCTCAGTCACAGTGCCATGCTACAGGAAAACTTTATGCTCTTGCAGCTATAATGGCATGTGGATGGCTTGAGATAAGCTGCTTTCACAGCTACGCTTGCCGGTTGCTGATCTTAAAATAGTGTGCATAAAAATAAATGGAGTCTGAATGTATTAATTTTGTCATAGATGGAAGTCTGATTTTATTTAACATAAAACACTTGTTACAACACGTGCAGATGTTCCCAGTGTGGAGGTGTAGTCTGGAAATCACTGTATTCTGCTCAAATGGGCAACATCTGATTTTGCTGACTTTGATCCAATTTCCATTTGTAAGTGGGGTCATTGTGCTCATGGCAGTTAAAGATAGATAACTCTTCAGGTGACTATGCAATTTGACAACCTGGAACTTAAGCACCATCTTTCCCTGAAAATCTGTTACTTGCTCACCCTTTTATGAAGTTGTACTTATAGCTCAGAAACTTTTGATTGCTTGGGATGCAGATCTGCAGCTTGCTTCAGAGGGGCCTTTGGTTCTGCTGTACCTCAGCTTGTCTCAAGAAATACCAGGAACTTTGTGTAACAGAAAATAATTCATTTTAAAAGAGGAAAACTTGGAAAGTTATTTTCTTTCCCCTTTTCTTAACAGAGCATTTTCAGGACTGTTCTTTCAGGAGTGTCTCTCCAATGAACTTTGTATCTCTTCATGGCTATTTCTAAAATATTTATTGTGTTTGTGTTTATAAGCTCCAAATTCATCTAGAATCCAGATTTTAACCTTCAGGGGTAAGGCTGTTTTCAGCCACGTGCTTATGACAAGCAAAACGTGGCCTTGGCTACTGGTCAGAAATCCTCCTATTCAGGATTTAGAATCCCGTTATTTTTTTCCATAGGCATCCTTTTAACCCAACTTGTTTTGCTGCTGTTGCATTCCTCATCTGTAAAATGGGGAGGATAGCACTACGATGTGGGAATTTTATGAGCGGTAGACTGTGAGCAACTTGTATAGTAAGGATCATATCTGTCTTTAGGATATTTGCAAAGAGCAATATTAAACAGCTTGAACAGGTACTAAAAATAAAACTAATTTTTTGTTTAATTTTTCAACTAAAGGGGCTGATAATTTAGAAAACGGCAAGAAGCTACAAACATCAGAACCTGCTGTGGAAGGCGCTCCAGCCAAAGTAAATCCCTACTCAGTCATAAATATTTCACCCATCCAAGACAAGGATCCATCCTCATCACCCGAACCAAGTCCTCAAGATGAACATGCAAGTCCAAACTTGTCTGGTGGATATTCTGTTCCTGTCCCCTGTGGCTATGCTGTGCCATCTAATTTACCTTTGATACTGCCAGCATACTCCAGTCCTGTCATAATCCGTAGCATTTCTGTAGATGAAGAAGGTACTGTATTTTCACACCTTACGTTATTCGAAGGGGAATCCTTGTTTAACTTCAGGTAGCTGTGCTGTTTTGTAAATGCTTATGTAGCACTCAGCCTGGATGTCTGTGGGAGATTTTTATGTCAAAATAGAAGTACTTTATCCTGCAGTATGAACTAAAATTTCTTGTCAGGCTTGGAAGAAAAATGTCAGTTTATTTAAAACAAAACAAAACAAAAAAGTTCCTGTGGGACTCTGCTTGCCCTACAAGGATTGAGATGCCTAAGTAAAGATGCGTAAGAAAAAAACTAATGTATGCAGTCAGTTCTTTCTCAGCCTTTCTTTAAGTTGGTGATACTTGACCTTTGTTTTGCTGGCACTGTATTACAACATGTAGTACAAGGGAGGACTCCTATTTTATCTTGCCATTAGGAATGAGTAATGTGAATTCCCTTTTAATGTAATGAAATAACTTCCAGAGCTATAGTTAAGTGTTCAAGCCAAATGGTTTCTTCTCATACCTTATCATGCTTTACCTCTGTCCTGGCAGAGTTCCTGTCCCTTTTACCTTTTCTATATGCACTTCTGTTTGCTTGCTTGTTTTCCAATCCTTGTGGATTTAGAGTTGCTGTGGGATGCTTTCCTTGATGATTTGATGAATTCTGTTTGTCCTTTAGTACAATTTTAAGATGGGAGAGGAAACTTGAAAGGGAAATAACAATGGATTATTACAGAAACAGGAACAATCTCCAACTTTGTAACTAGAATTGACCAAGCTGACAGCTTGATGTCAAGAGAGCAGGAGGAACTGAAAGCTCCCCATGTCCTGGCTTTCTTTCTTGTGGTTTGAATATACTATTCTTTAGCTAGACAGCAATTCTGCTGTAATTCTACACTGTGATACTTCTTTTTTTTTTGCAGCCTTTGCTCTCTACCACCATTAGGAATATTGGCAAGTAAAAGCAAATGTGTTTGTGTGGTTGTTATTACCTGTAGAGGAATATATGTTTGAGAGATTAGAATTAAATGCATCAGACACTAATTTCCTCTTAACAGCTCATATACCAAATTGCTGTGTCTCTGAATTATTTCATTTGCAAAAATAGATAGTGTGAAGAAACTTCTAAAGTTTTTTACATGTTTCTTTAAGAATAAAAATATTGTATAGAAGTAGATTATTCATTAGTAATGCACTAATAACATCAGTTTCTTATGCTAAAGCGTGCCATTTGAACCACACTGACATTTTATTCCAAGCATTTTGCTGACTATGTTTCTTGTTTCTATTTAGCAGGTACACAGTCAGCAATGGAAGAATGTCATTGTAACTCTGTAAACTCAGAGGAGCATCAAAATAGGTGATTGCCAGTTCAGCATGTTTTAATGATCTATAAAACCTAGGTTTGATATTTGATATAAATATTTGATATTATATATTTGATATAAATCAAATATTTTATTTTTCTTGTGTGACACTTCCATGTTTGTTTATTTTAATTTTCTTAACTCCATAACTGGTTGTGTATCAAAATCAGTACTGGTTGAGGTCTCGTGTGTATAACCATGCATGACATTTTTGAAGGAACTAGGTTTAATTTTTGAAGAGTCACAGCAATGTCAGCTGCAACAGG